GCTTAGGACGTAGTCATGTGATCCATCATGGGAAACACCACTCACAAGTGAAGTCCAGCCAAGTTGACAGATCTTCAACTATCACAAGTACAATGAGTTCAAAAGGCTAGAATTTCTATCTCAAGAAAGGAGTAAAAATAAAGTGTTAGCTATTAACACTAATGGAATAATTTGATAACATTTATTTATCCAACTATATCAAGTGTACTTAGTGGAGATGATGACTAGAACTCTGTATACAAAGATTCCTGCAGTTAAATCTCCATGTCTCAATACTCAAAGCTTAAGAGATTCTGAGCAAAATTCTATTCCATGGTCTTTTGGTGTTGGTATTTTAGTACTCCTGTGCTGCAATATTTCTTTCACCATTCTTCTTGAAGAACTTATTCACCAAATAAGCACTTGATTGAGGAAAATTAGCACTGAGCACATAAGTAGGCTTCAATGGAAGAGACTCTACCAAATCTGTAGTAGTTCATGAATCTACTTCCATAGTGATAATGCCTCGGAAACCCAAGGAGGGGTCACTGAGTCAGATCCCACTCAACAGCAGTGAGTTGGGTTTGGTTTTTGGTTTAGTCTCCATTAGAACTTGGAATATTGACTTCATTATAAACTGACATTAAATTACTTTGTTTTGTTCAAACTATTATATATTATTACAAAATATTTCACTAATAAAAATTTCTATGAATTAATAGTTCCAGAAACTGCTGCTGGAAGAAAATAGATAATAAATGAACTCTCTCAGTAGAATCTAATAATGCTGATGAAATTAGTAAAAAAAAAAAAAAAAAAAATGTTATTTAGAAATTACAGTGAGAATCATGGCTTAAGTCCACTGTAAAAAAGAAATCCTGAAGAAAAGCTTACATATTCTTATTGATTCAGTAAACATCTGCTTTGTTCCTACTGCACTCTGTGATTTCTTCCCATGGCTCGAACCATTGTTATATGGACATGCAGACATTTATACAATGCAGGTCAGTGTTGTAAAGTAATGATACAGAACACTGGAATGTCGTTTTCTCTTTTCAATCAAAAGCTTACTTAAATCCATAAAACCCTGAGGAGTGACAGGTATGTAAATAGAAAGGGGATATCTGCCCAGGACTCACAACACTTTAAAACACCTTAAACACCTTAAAAAAACAAGCTATGAAGAGAAAGATAACACAACACAGATGAAAAATGTTTGGAGTGCTGATGGCATCACTGGATTTTGTTTGCTCCAAGTGCTAAGCCCCTCACCCTCCTCTATGAGCTGTGCCCTAGTGGGTGTCCTAGGTTAGCAAATAAATGTTCAGGGCATCCTGCCTTCCCATACCTGCTGGAGGAGGAGGATGGCCCAGCCTTTCTGAAGCATTGTCTCCACCGCTCCCCATCTTTCACAAAGTTCATGCCTAGGTCTTTCAAAACCAGCAAAAATTTAATTGCATGAGCCTTCAGAGAAGAAGATTAAATAACCACCCGTGGAATCCAACCAACAACTTTAGTAAGGAAAAAAATAAAATAAAAGTTTCCCTCAAATCATAAGTAAATTTATCTTATTGCACCTTAAGGAGCTCTGGTGGTACAGTGGTTAAGGCATTTGGCTGCTAACTAGAAGGTTGTTGTTCAAACCCACCAGCTGCTCCATAGAAGAAAGATGAGGCAGTCTGCTTCTGTAGATTTACAGTCTTGGAAGCCCAATAGGGGTCACTGAGAGTCAGAATCAACTTGATGGCAGTGAGGTTATTTTTTTTTTTTTTTGTATTGCATCTTAATCTCATTCCCATTGTTCTGTTCTTAGATGTAAATGGCAGTTGTTCATCACCCTCAATGTAGTTATGTATTTGACACAAATGTTTGATGGGTTTTTTGTTTGTTTGTTTCATATTTAAAAGAAAAAAAAAATAGTTATCTCTAATTTACATTACCAAAACAAGAAGCTTCTTAGTCTCGTTTCTAAACACAAAACATACCTAGATTTTAAAAAACTGTTGGATTATAAACATTACATTTTTGGTTTTGTTTTATAGTTTATTTTCCAAGTCAGGCATTTGTACAAAAGATGAAACTTTTATGCCTTTATAAAATCAACCCATAGTGACAAGGTAGAACTGCCCCCAAAGGTTTTCCAAGGTTGTAAATCTTTACAGAAGCAGACTGCACATCTTTCACTAGTGGCTGGTGAGTTCATTCTGCTACCCTGTCAGTAACCTTGTGCTTAACAACTAACTGCACCACAATGGCTCCTCTTTGCCTTTACAAAAAACCAAACTCACTGCCATCAAGTCAGATCCAACTCATAGCAACCCCTCCTTGAGTTTCTGAGGTGGCATCACTATGGAAGTAGATTGCCCAGCCTTCCTTCCAAGGAGTGGCTGGTTGAACATACTTTCAATATGAAGTCCTTGTTGTTGTTGTTGTTATATGCCGTCGAGTCGGCCCCGACTCATAGCGACCCCTCCTTGGGTTTCCAAGGCAATATCACTACGGAAGTAGGATTGCCCAACCTTCCTTCCGAGAAGTGGCTGGTGGGTTTGAACCGCCAGCCTTCTGGTTAGCAGTCAAGTGCCCTAGGCACTATGCTACCAGAGCTCCCAATGAAGTCCTTAGCACTTCTAAATGTGTAACTGGAGCCCCTCAGTGACAAAGGACTGAGCAGTTGGCTCCTAACCCAAAGGTTGGTATTTCAAATCCACCCAGAGGAGCCTTGGAAGAAAGGCCTGGTGATCTGCTTCTGAAAGATCACCACCACACAGTTCTATTCTGAAACACAAGGGGTTGCCATGAGTTGGATCAACTGGAGGGCAACTGTTTTTCTGTTTGTTTTAAATGTGTAACAATTCCTTCAACGTGCAACGGGTTTTCAGTTCTTATGAGAAATATTCTATATCTGATAGGAATCCTGTCTTCATTACATATTTATTCTGCACAAATAAATGATCCAACTCACAATTCTGAAGCAAATAACGCAGAAGATTCAGGAAGGGAAGGCATTGTATAAGAATGTGTAGCTTTTGCGAAAAGATGTAAATTAAGTGTGCTCCTACAAAGTAGGACTGTGGAGACATGATAATGAACATACACAATTGCCAGGTTGAGGAAGCTATCAAAAACTGATGCAGGAAAGGTGAGAATTTAGTCATGAATTATTCAAAATGAGTAAGTTCTTATAAATTAAAATGTAATACACTGTCACCCAAATTTACCTACTGTTTTCTTAGAAACAGCCAAAATGGAAAAACATTATGTCTTGAAAATTGTTTATTTTAAAAACCAGAAGATACAAAGAAGGCAACAAACAATTTACATAATATGCCTTTGCATTTAACATGTTTATCTTTGTCCTCCATTGAAAAATAAAAGTATAAGATCTTTTTTGTATTATACAAAATAAATTCCTTATCAAGATGTTCTATCTAAATACCTGTCAACCATCTTCAAAGAAGCACAAATGAAAAATTTTCTGGTGTTGACACTTCTATTCTGAGCCTGAATGGTATCTGTTTCCTTTATTGTAAGCTATAGTATATCAAAAAGAGAGCAGTTGAGAGAGAGAAAGAACTAACTAGCTAGCTTCAGAACAATAACACAAAATGAGTGCAGAACTAACCGTCATTCCACCAAACTACAAAACCTCTCTACTATAAACTAGTGATTAGATGACAATATTCTGTCCCCTCCTTTACGTTTCATATTCATCTGCGATTTCTGACAGATGTGATGTTTATACTTCGTCTTTTTAAAATCATTTCTAAAGTTAACTTGTTACAAGTGAATTCTAAGAATTCATGAGAAAACCCTTATCTAAATGGGCTGAAGAGATTTTTTTTTTAATATGAGATGCACATTTCCAAATAAAAAGGTACTACAAGTGTTGATCTTAAGAATAATTGATATGTATCAAGAAAATGACTATTTAAACATGTCACTTGCAGGGAGTTGTCGTTCAAGAAAGGAGATACAGTCTATATCCTCAGGAAAATTGATCAGAATTGGTATGAAGGAGAGCACCATGGAAGAGTTGGCATTTTTCCTATCTCATACGTAGAGGTTTGTCCTTTCCTTTTCCCTCTTGGATAGTTGTTTCAAATGTCACCACAGATTCAAAAACAAATCACTGCTTTCTTTCTTAGAAACTCATACCTCCTGAGAAAGCACAGCCTGCGAGACCCCCTCCTCCAGCCCAGCCTGGAGAGATCGGAGAAGCTATAGCCAAATACAATTTCAATGCAGACACAAATGTGGAGCTATCTCTGAGAAAGGTAACACGACTGTTTACTTCACTGGTGCATTTGAAGGGTTGTGCATATTCAAAACAGAAATAAATTATTTCCTTCCTTACACACTGTTTTCACCATTTTCTACAAAGGACTCCATAAGTTGAACTGAGGTGCTGTTACCTACTTGCCTGCGTCTTTCCAGATGAGGTTGCCTGGGCACACAAATCTTCTCGGGGAGACTTTCCCCTGTGGCTTAGCTTGGGAAGCAGGACCCTGGCTCTAACAGTCTTAATCCTCTCCAAGGGATACCTCAAGCAAAATACCAAGGTGGTATAAATGTGAAAGAATGGTGGTACAAATGGTTAATGTGCTCCACTGCTAACCAAAAGGCGGGAGATTCAAGTGTACCCAGAGGCACCTTGAAAGAAAGGCCTGGTGATCTACTTCCCAAAAAAATCAGCCATTGAAAACACTATGGAGCATAGTTCTGTGACACACAGGGGGTTGTCATGAATCAGAGTCAACTCCATGGCAACTGATATATATATAGAAGTATCAAAAGGAAAAGCATGTTAATATATTTCAAAATTTATTTTTCTGCTGCCTTATTATTCAATTTTTTAAAAAGATGACATATCACAATGCTTTCATTTATCTTACCTTGGAATCAAGGAATGGTCCTAAAATTAATGAAAATGATTTCTCTCTAGGGAGCCTTTTTTTCTTTTTTTTAAAATTGTGATTTGGGTGAAAGTTTACAGAGCAAATTCATTTTCCATTCTATAATTCATACACATTTTGTTTCATGACATTGATTACAATCCCCCTAATGTAACAGCTCTCTTCCCACTTCCTTCCTGTGGTTACCTTTTCCACAGTGTCCTTCTTTCCCATACATTCCTGCCCTCTGAACTATCCCCCTGTGCAAACTCTGCCCTTCTGGTCTCCTGTGGTTGATTGTTCTAAGGAGTGTACCTACTTAGAATAAATGTTCACCTTATATGCCTGTCTGTTGTTTGGCTGGAAGCCACGGGAGTGATTTCAATTCCAGGCCCAAAGGGTAACTAGGGGCCATAGTCTCGGGGGTTTCACCAGTCACTATCAGACCAGTAAAACTGATCTTATTTATGATTTTGAGTTTTGCTCCACATTTTTGTCCCACTCTATCCAATGTCTACTACACTGATCCCTTTCTGAGTGGTTGACCATGGTAGCTGGGCACCAGTTTCATGATCAAATAAGCTAAGGTTTGCGTGGTGCACTGTTCCTTAGGTTAATTGTTTCCATGCACCTTTAATTTTCTTCATTCTTCTTTGCTCCCGATAAAGAGAGACCAGTTGTTGCATCTTAGATGGCTGCTTGCAAGCTTTTAAGGCTCCAGTTGCTACTTACCAAAGTAGGATGCAGAACAATGTTTTTGTGTAGTATGTGAGGCCAGTTGAGCTTGATGTCCCCCGTGACCATGGTCCAGAGCCCATGGGCCCAATGACTCACTCTCTCTGGGGAGCCTTTTTGAAGAAACTTCAGCACAGTACTGTTTCCTTAATCAGCCTTCTCTAGGCACCAGCCTCAAGTGACCCACATTTCAGCAGACATCTATCTGATTCTATATCTCTTCTTAACAATATCAAAAAAAGACTCTCAATTTGCTAATCTACAAAGTTGAAAATTATTAAAATGATCTATTTTATTATCTGCTAAAATGTACATGTCTGAGGTAACAACATATCTGTACATGACATAGAGAGATAATAATCAATGGTAGTGAGGAAAATGTCACTGTTCTGGTCCCGGTAGAAAGTTCTCTCATTCTCTCTTTCTAGTCCCATTTCTTCATCATCCACTGATTCAGTTCCACTTTCAGGCAGCATCACCTTGCACAGACAAAGCCAAACCCACTGCCGTAGATTTGATTTCAACTCATAGCAACCCGATGGGACAGAGGAGAAGTGCCCCTTAGTGTTTCCAAGGCTGTAAATCCTTACAGAAGCAGACTGCCCTAATCTTGTCCCACAGAGCAGCTGATGAGTCCAAACTGCTGACCTTTTGATTAGTAACTGAAAGCTTAACCACTGCACCACCAGAGCTCCTTCTCACACAGCCACACGGTATTGCATGAAACATATCATCTCATGTCTCATATTTTAAATGAAAGCTTCAGCTTATGCATATTATATCCTGGGCAACAACCTGTTCTTGGTGTACTATAGAGAAAGTCCATGCAATTTTCAGATTTAGAGAGATTCACTTTGCTTTGGTGTGCTCTGCTTGGTGGTGGCAGGATAGGCTAAATAAATCATCCAGCATTTTGGCAAAAGCAGAATTTTGTGAGTGTTACCTGAAAAAAAGCCCCTCTAATGTGCTGAAGTTACTGAATGTGGGGCACCTCCATCATCCTATTGGTGCAACTGCCCAAACTTTGTATCACCATCTGAAGGCAGCTTCAGAGTTTTTGCTGTTTAACTCCATCCTGCCTTTTCACGTGTGGTTTTGAGTTAAAATTTAAACTGGGTTGTAGGGCATTGGCTTGATAACTGCAGGTAACAAGTGTAGTGGTTATAGAAAGTTCTATTATTGCAAATGTCAGGGGTGCCATTCATATATATAGTGGTCTGTATGGCATGACCGCCAAGTAAGCAGAATGGATGCTGGAATTACACTGTCCCGGTACAGTCCAGCTAGATGTCTGCCCCTGGCAGCAAGTTTGGATTATCACAAGCACTGTCTTTGCTTCCCCTCCCTTTGGTTGCACTCTTTGTCAGCACTTATCATAGGAAGGTTAATGAAGTAATATGATGTGCCATTCAACCTCATCCATTCTTCATGAAGGTTGATTTCTGCAGCCCATTGAAGTCACACCATTACAGCAAGCTATGGTATGCTTTTCTGAA